CTGTGTGTGTGAGAGAGTGTGTGTGAGTGTGTGTGCGAGAGTGTGTGTGAGTGTGTGAGTAAGAGTGAGTGAGTGAGTGTGTGTGTGTGTGTGTGTGTGTGTGTGTGTGTGAGAGAGTGTGTGTGAGTGTGTGTGCGAGAGTGTGTGTGAGTGTGTGAGTAAGAGTGACCGTGTGTGTGTGTGTGCGTACTTGTTCTCTCTGTTGATGGTGGGCACGGCTGCAGGTTTTCTGCTGGTCTCTGCGCTCAGCTCTTGGCTGATGTCAGGAGAGGAGTACGAGCGCTTGAGTTTGGACTGCTCTCGGCCCCGCTCCTCCTCTCTCTCGCGCTCCTGCTCCTGCTCTTTCTCCGTCTCGGCGGGCTGCGGTGGCTTGGCTTTAGCGGCGCTGGGCTGGATCTGAGGCGTGTGGACCTCCGGAGGGTACAGGTGCACGCGGTTGGTGGGAGAGTGGTAATATCTGTAGGTGCCCGTCACCGTGTCCAGAAACTGCAGAGACGTGCAGCTCAGTTAGCAACACCAGCAAACAACAACTCTACACAATAGAGCTGGGCGATATGGCAAAAAATGTAAATTTTTCAGAACGTTTTATCGATTCTCGATTTTTTTTAACTAGTCTAACTAGTCAACTTGAAAATGTAACTACAACATGATTCAAATAACTTTTTCTTTATTAATACAGAAAATTAAGAAAATTCTATTCCAAGTGCAGCACACATGAAGTTGTCAACATGATGTAAATGTTAAAGAGGTGGTTGACTGTTTTTTTTCTAGGCTTGATTGTGTTTATGGGGTGCAGAAAAAAACGCATTCTTTTTCACATAATTTACCTTTATTCCACACCGCTCTGTCCCTTCTCTGAGAAACACGCTGATCTTTTCCTGTTTTTATGAAGCCCCGCCTTCAGAAATAGGCGATGGGCTCTGATTGGTTAGCTAGCCCAGTGTGTTGTGATTGGCTAAACCGCCTCTAGTGTGCATCTAAACGTCCCGCCCCTCACCTCAGCAGCATGTGCTTCGGTTGTATTGTAAACAAATACAAAAATCTGAGATTGTAAGCTTTAATACAGTACACGCGTCCATGTATAACGCTTCTCATAGCTATATGAAAATAAGTGTATAATTGTAACAGTTCATTGTTGTAGCTGAGCTGAATGAGAGAGAGAGAGAGAGAGAGATGCAGAGCAGGGGATGCGAGGAACAGTATTAAGAACCGCTGCTTTAGAACATTGATTTTGAAACGTGTGAATCCATTAGAATCGTTAGAAGACAGAATCGTGATTCATATATGAATAGATTTTTACGTGCACCTCTAGTTTTCTCTTCCTCTTCTCTAAAGCAGCGCAGCATGGCCACGCCCCCTTCGTTGCATGTTCCCGAATGAACATATTTCTATTCTATTCTATTTATTAAAAAAAATTTATTGTGGCATTAAATTTGGATGAATCGGTAAAATTGGAAAAATGGCCCAGCCCTCCTCCACAAGGAACACCTGCTGCTCTTACCTTCATCCAGCCGTCTGGCAGCCCAGGGACGGTTCGGCCCATCTCCTCACTGTGTGCTCGCGTCAGAGACTCCCTCTGGAACACACACACACACACACGTGTCACACACTCATGTTCAAGTGTGTGATGTTATTACGCAATACAAGGTGTGTGTGTGAGTCTGTGTCTGTGTGTGTGAGTGTGCGTGTGAGTGTGTGTCTGCGTGTGTGTGTGTGTGTGTGTGTGTGTGTGTGTCACTCACAGTGCTGAAGGTTGCAGGTGAATCCAGAGACATGCTCTTCATGGCAGCGTCCAGCGGCACGTCCTTCTGTGCTCTCCTGTTCTTCTCGTCTCTGGCGTCTCCCTGATCCTCCTCTTCGGCCGTCTGTCTCTCCACCTTCTTCCTCTCCTGCTTCTCCTCCTCCTCCTCCTCCTTCTTCCTCTCGCTCTGTTCTCGCTGATTACGTGCACCTCTAGTTTTCTCTTCCTCTTCTCTAAAGCAGCGCAGCATGGCCACGCCCCCTTCGTTGCATGTTCCCGAATGAACATATTTCTATTCTATTCTATTTATTAAAAAAAATTTATTGTGGCATTAAATTTGGATGAATCGGTAAAATTGGAAAAATGGCCCAGCCCTCCTCCACAAGGAACACCTGCTGCTCTTACCTTCATCCAGCCATCTGGCAGCCCTGGGACGGTTCGGCCCATCTCCTCACTGTGTGCTCGCGTCAGAGACTCCCTCTGGAACACACACACACACACACACACGTGTCACACACTCATGTTCAAGTGTGTGATGTTATTACGCAATACAAGGTGTGTGTGTGAGTCTGTGTCTGTGTGTGTGAGTGTGCGTGTGAGTGTGTGTCTGCGTGTGTGTGTGTGTGTGTGTGTGTGTGTGTGTCACTCACAGTGCTGAAGGTTGCAGGTGAATCCAGAGACATGCTCTTCATGGCAGCGTCCAGCGGCACGTCCTTCTGTGCTCTCCTGTTCTTCTCGTCTCTGGCGTCTCCCTGATCCTCCTCTTCGGCCGTCTGTCTCTCCACCTTCTTCCTCTCCTGCTTCTCCTCCTCCTCCTCCTCCTTCTTCCTCTCGCTCTGTTCTCGCTGATGTCTCTCGGCCGTCTCTCTCTCCTCCAGGGCTCGTTTGCGCTGCTCCTGCTCTTTGCGGGCTTTCTCCATCAGACTGAGGGTCTCTGCGTGAATCTCCCTGCGCTCCTCTTCGCTCAGAGCTCTGGAAGGGTCCAGCGGGGGTTTAGCAGAGCGGTCGGGCACCACGGGGCCGTCGCTTACCGAGGGCTCATCGCTGAGCTTTGCGCTCGATGCCGGTTTCACCGCAGGTTTCTTGGAGCGGTCGACCTGCGTTCAGAGGAAGCGTTAGTGCATGTTTGTGTGGATGGTTGCGCGGTGCTGCAGGTGTAACTCACCTGTGGAGTGTGTCGCGGCGCGGCGGCGTCTGTCTTTGCGGGTTGCTGCGCGGGTGTGTATGCGGGCGGCTCTGCGGGCGGCTCTGGGTCCACGGTTCTGCCGTTGAGCTGCGCATCTGCAGGCTCCTCACACACACTCACGGCTTCGGGCTCCTCCAGCGACGGGTACGAGAAGTTCACTGAAACCACAGCAACAGCGTCACTGCATTCACTGATCAGCATGGAGATACTCTGAGATTAAGAACCATCACACCAAGAACAATAACTACAACGATAATTATATTAGCATCCACACCCACGCACAATAACGTTCTGGTTATTATAAACGCTGCAGTTTTGTCGTCTGTCGCTTTAAATGCTTGAGCTTGGATGGATTCTGATTGGCTGTCAATGTTTTTAATCGCTCATCAGATGGAAAATATTGTTCTTAAAAGTGATTCCAACGATATCGTTCCTCCGTGTCGTTATATTTCTGGTGTGATTTCATTATTCTCATAGACTTAGAGAGATTATTAAAATTTTATAGTTATCATTATAGTTATTGTCTTCGGTGTTAATGGGCCTTAAAGGGAAAGTTCACCCAAAAATTCTGTCATCATTTACTCTCCCTCGAGTTGTTCCAAACATGTACGAGTTTGCCTTGAACACAAAAGAAGATATTCTGAAGAATGCTGCTGGTTCCTACTCCATTTCTGAGTGAGCTATCCCTCTAACACCCAACATCAGCCTCTTTAGCTCAAACCCTTATATCACTAGTAATGAAACAGTCCCATCATTCGCTTTGATTCACAAAACTGAATTCAATTCAATACCTTTCTAAGTTCTGGCTTTGCCATGCGAATTTAAAATATAAAATTAGACTTTATTATTCATTCTAAGTGAAAAGTCCTTTTGCAGCTCTTGTGCACTTCAGATGATCAGTGTTTTTTACCCAAATTGAGACATTTTTAATATCCACAGTGCATATTAGGATACATCAGTGCAGCCGGTGTGTTGTGTGTGCTGTGAGACTCACGCTGGGGCAGTGTGCTGGCCGTCTGCTGTCGGGGGGGCTTGACTTTAGCGTTGCTGCTGTACATTGGGTAAAAGAGCAGCCAGTTGTCGTATCCTCCATCCAGCACCAGAGGCTCACTGCGCAGGATTGTGCTGCTGTCCCACTGCACACACACACATCAGATACGACACACACACACACACACACGATGAGCTGGAGATACAGTGCCAGCCCTACAGTACCTTATAGAGAGCATCCTTCAGACTCTGTAGAGTGGTGCCCAGTTTGAGATCAGAGACGCAGCTGAACCAGTCCAGCAGAACCACGTAATCCACGAAGCCGCGGCGCTTCCAGTCCTCCAGAGACTCTGCCGGGAGCTTCAGCTGGATCTGATTCACCGTCACCCTGAGCATTAGCAGCACACGAGAGTATTCAATATTCATATACACGAGTGAAGCAGATTACTGAAAAAGAAAACATGTAGGGCGGGACTTGGTTCTATTTGTCAGTTGTTGATTGGACTCAACTTAAAGCTAGTTGCAGAGGCAACATTTGTCATTTTCATTTAGTTTAACTTTATGTACTAAAATAACAAAAATTAAATGTAAAAACTATATAGACATGTTTAAAAAAAATCACTAAAATTTAACCCACATACAAAGGAAAATGGAAAACACAAACATTTAAACTAATTTAAAATATAAAACAAAACTATAAAAGTATCTTGATACTAAAATAACACTAATAGCAGAAGACCAGCATATATCACTGTCACTTCACTAGCTGTTATGACATTCTGATTAAAGGTTACAAGGTCAAAAACATTCGTATAAAATGAAACGCGAACGGATGAATCTTTCACAATAAGTTGCATTTAGAAAATAGATTTTTGGAACATGTGAAATGCAGACTTCACTATTATTTCACTAACGGGTGATGATGGGTAACTGGGCAGATGAAAGCACATTGAGATGAGTGTGTGTGTGTGTGTGTGTGTGTGTGTGTGTCTGTGTGTGAGTGTGTGTGTGTGTGTGAGTGTGTCTACACATCTGAGACTCCTCGAAGTCCTGTCTGCGCCGCGCGTCCATCACCAGCACACTTATACTGGGATCCTTCATCAGCTGGAACAGATCCTTAGCGCTGACGCTTCCTGACGGGACAGAAAACACACGTCACTAAACAACAAACACACAGAGAAGTATGACAGTCCACCGGGACACACGGTACCTTTATCACAGCCAGTCTTACTGTTATTGGGCTCCTCTTTAACCTGCTGTAAAACACACACACACACAACAGCAAAATTAATTATTAACAAATCAAAGCATACATGATAATGGCCTGTGACCTTTGAACATCGACCCTTTTAACTGTTTGAGTGACAACTGCAAGTTGAACTACTAAAACACGGATAATTATTTTATTTTTATTATCTCGCTATAGCATATTCATATTGTTCCTTTTTAAGCTACAGCAGGTGAAATAAACTCATCACATGATGAAGCTCATAGTATGTTTGCATGGACCCATGAAGCCACACTGAAACTGGGTCACAATGCAACACAGTTCATTTTTACCATACAGACACTTGTGCAGGTCAATCATTTTTAAAATTTGTAGTTTTTCATTTTGAAGTTTTTCATTCAGATATTTTCCAGTTTTTGATGGCTCATTCATTCAGCCGAGAGCAAGAAGTCTCTTTTTCTTCTTTTTTGCTTTTTTATGTCAATATTGTCTGATTTACATTAATGATGCGGTTAATGCTAAGCAGACGTACCCTAACTAACACGTTTGTTTGTGTAATCTGAATTGATGCTTCCTTTTTCCACAGTATTACATATCCATGCAGCATAAAGCTTCAGGAATTGATTCTCATTGACAAGTGTGTGTTTATCAGATCAAATGATGAATGATTTCCAGTCCAGCAGCATTACGGCACCTTCTTATTGTCCTTCTTCTCTGAAGCTCCTCGAGGTGAAGCAAGGCTATCTTTTTCACTTCTTTCTTCTCGTCGACTCTTTTCCTCCTTTCTCTCTTTCTCCTCCAGCTTTTTCCGCACTTCTACCTCCTCATACCTGAGAGAGCAGCACCAGAAGGTGAACAGAGTGTTTGTGAGACAGAAGAGAGAGTGTGTGTGTGTGTGTGTGTGTGTGTTTACACTAGGCTTAACATCTGCCTCGGGACAGATCAGTGGATGATTGACAGGTGAGTGGGCGGAGCTCTGGGATGCATCTGGCCTCATTAGAGTGCACACTACAGATGTGATGTGAGAACTGTTTACACCTGTATTTAGCACTGAACCCTTGTGATCAGAGCACCTGAGACAGATGTTAATAGCAGGTGTAAATGGATCCACTGTGTGTGTGAGAGTGATTGTGAGTGTGTGTCTGTGTGAGGTGTGTGAGTGTCTGTCTGTGTGAGGTGTGTGTGAGTCTGAGTGAGTGTGTGTGTGTCTGAGTGTGTGTGTGTGCGAGTCTGAATGAGTGTGTGTGTGAGTCTGAGTGAGTGTGTGTGTGTGTGTGAGTCTGAGTGAGTGAGTGTGAGTCTGTGTGTGTGTGAGTGAGTGTGTGTGTGTGTGTGAGTGTGTGTGAAACACTGACCGGAGCTTCAAACTCTCTGAAAGCTTCTCTGCCTCCTCGATGGCCTTTTTAAAGCTAATGTATTGTTGGCTATTGCTACAAATATACCCCAGCGACTTAACACTGCTTTTGTGCTGCAGCGTCACAGATGTGTGTATAATACACACTGATCTCATCCTCAGTGTCACGTCTCCACCATTAAAATCTCCCACAATGCACTAGGGCTGTACCTGCTGCTGCTTGAAGTCCGGTCTCTTCTTGATGAGGTCATAGACCGTCAGGTACTTCATGTACAGCACATACGCTTTCTCCTCATCGCGGTCCAGACGACACTCCTCCGCCGCCTTGAAGATCTTGCACGCGCTCTGGACGTAGCTGAAACACACAAACATCAGCGTTGAGTGCAGACCGCTGCTGCCATCTACTTATGAGAAATCTGTGACACGAATGTGCTTGTGCTTGAGATTCACGTGTCCACACTTACTGTCTGGTGCTGGTTTTATCTGGTTTGATGTCTGCTTTCTTGTTCAGATCGCTCAGTGATGAGGACAGATACAGATCCTTCACTCCAGCGGACACAGAAGGCATTTCAGCTCATATTCCTGCAAACATCCCAAAGCAGACTCAAAACATCAGAGTAATCCGATCCATGACAGAATAATTACACTAACAACAGACAGTGCTGGGAACGTTACAAGTTACTCTATTTAAAATGTAACAGTAGTGTAACTATTTCAGTTACTGTATTAAAGTAATGTAACGGATTACATTTGATGTCAAGCACAGCCAGCACAAAATCAGACTTTAGCACCTCTTCTTACTTTGAGATCATTTTTTCTCAGTAACTGATTAGTTACATTTATTTTCAGTAACACTTTATTTTAAGGTGTCCTTGTTACATGTACTTACTATAATAATAATAATAATACATTATGCGTAATTACATGCAAGTAACCCTGAACCAAACCCTAACCATATAGTAAGTACATGTAGTTAATTAATATTACTCAGTACTTAAATATATAATTACACTGTAACAAGGACACCTTCAAATAAAGTGTAACCGCTTTTCGAACTAAATGACGTAACGTCGTTACATGTAACTAGTTACTCCCCAGCACTGACACCGAGTAAACAAGCCTCTAATCACACAATCAGAGCAATGCTGAGATCATAAGACTGATGACTCTCAGAAGTACAGTAAACACATATCTGGCTGTTATTGATCACCGGCGAGATCGCAGTGAAGCGTGTCAGCTCACCCTGAACTCTAATCCTGTCAGAGAACACGCTGGAATCCGCAGATCCGCGCAGAAGAGTGCAGTTTATCCGCACTGATGACAGTAAACAGCCTCGGACCGCGCGAGCAGACGCGGAAGTGCGCGGACTCGAACCCCGGAAGCTTTATTTAAACACGCTGCGCACACACGCGACTTTAAAGCGCTTGACAAAAGACGCGTTTATTATAAATGTTTATATGTTCACACATAAATCAGCTCTGTGTGTTTAAACTCTCATTCTTGCGTCATTGAACACTGGTTTCTGCCAGCATTGTTTGACACGTTTATATTTAGTGTGTGCACTGCTGTATTATTGATAAGGTCTCCTAAACTAATATGACTGATGATGATGATGATGATGATGAGACTCGAGCGGAAATGAGAAGATACAATGTTGCGTCTCCTGCGCTTGAGTCAGTGCGCATGCGCGCCGCAGACACTCCGCGTTACAAGAGTTTAAATAACCAAATCACCATAGAATATACACTGCACAGAAGTAATTAGCAATATGAAACAGCTGCAGCAGAGGGTGGAGGAGGTTTATTGATCGCTTCATTCTCTTGATGCTGGAGCCTGTGTGCGCGCCCCCGCGCCCGCGCTCGTGCCCGCGGCTGTATTATTGTCTCGTTTCTACCGGATTCGGTTCGGTTCCGGTTCTGTTCTCACGGTAAGAAACACTACATTCAGCGCGATCGCGTCCGCCGGATGTGGAAGTGGATGAGTTTGTGGGGATTAATATTTCCTCTTCCTCCGGAACACCAGCGATTTCCTGTTTATTGCTTTTAACGCCGCAGCTTCACATCAGCGATGAAGATGATGATGAAGAAGATGATGATGGTTTAGGCCTGAGATGAAGCGCTGCTTCTCATATAAACATTTATTATAGCGTTGGATATCGCGTTTGTTCGCCGCTTTAAATAACCACAACAATAGAAAGCATCAGAGCTGATTACATCCACAGATGAAGAGCTGCAGGGTTTCAGAGTTATCCGCTTAGTTTTGTGAAATGAAGTGTTTTTTATTCTAGAAGCTGGTTTCCAGGATGGCGTTGTTACAGTGGTTGTCCGTTTTGGGCTGCGACTAGTTACAGTAATAATATGTGACTCTGGAGCACAAAACCAGTCATAAGGGTCAATTTTTTCCAGTAATGCCAACAAAGTTTTCTAGTCTATGCAAAAGAATGTTGTGGTCAATAGTGTCGAACGCAGCGCTAAGATCCAATAGCAGATGATATATCATCAGATGATAAGAGCTGGTCATTTGAAACTCTAATGAGAGCACAAAGTTTGACACACAAAGAGTGTGTGTGTGTGTATGTGTGTGTTCTGATGTTACACCATGGCTGTAATGCACGTCTGTGTCTAATTTCAGATGTCTCTGGTGGATTTGGGGAAGAAGCTCCTGGAAGCCGCTCGGGCCGGTCAGGACGACGAGGTCCGGATTCTGATGGCGAATGGAGCTCCATTCACCACTGACTGGGTGAGTGTGTGTGAGAGTGTGTGTGTGTGTGTGTGTGTGTGTGAAAGAAACAAAGTACCATGGTTTCCACAACAATATAAGGGAGTTCTGACACTGTTTTGACATTGAAGACAAGAGTATTGGCTGCTGAAGATTAATCTTTGATATTTAATACATATATATTAGTTCTGTCGAATCGATCAATCACGATTAATCACATCCACAATAATATATCAATCACATAATATATGTGTGAGTACTGTGTGCAAAAAAATCTAAATATTGAGAAAATCATCTTTAAAGTTGTTCAAATGAAGTTCTTAGCAATGCATATTACTAATCAAAAATTAAGTTTTGATATATTTACGGTAGGACATTTACAAAATATCTTCATGGAACATGATCTTTACTTAATATCCTAATGATTTTTGGCATAAAAGAGAAATGTATAATTTTGACCCATACAATGTATTGTTGGCTATTGCTACAAATATCCCCCAGCGACTTAACACTGCTTTTGTGCTGCAGGGTCACAGATGTGAAATCCAGGCTAAAGTCTCAGAATCTCATTATGAGATAACAAGCATCAAAGTTTGATTTCAACCATTAATTTCACTATGATTTCAATCTTACTCAGTCAATATTAAAGATATCAAGGTTACATTTTCACAGAATGTTCTTTACCTTATGAAGGGTGGTTTTTGTAGAAAACACTACATAAATGACTAGCTGGGTTTATATATTACTTTTTGCCTCAACTAGTAGTGTAACTAATTACTAATAAGATTTGAGTAATAATAATGGCATTACTTGGCTTGCCCACCCATATCCCTCTGATCACGATATAGATTGTATTAAATCTTTTTAGAGAACGAAACATTTTCTTATGAACTGTGATTTCTTTTGATACATCATGAAATATAGTAGTATACGGATAACAGCGAAATTATAGCTACAATTAACTTCAAGCTACACATGATTAATGCGACACTTTTACTTAAACATCACTATTAATCACCACTGAGTGTTTGTAATCACTTCTGACTGCGATCCAGTGGGGATTTTGGTCAAATGATGAGGCAGAAATATATTGTTAGTAACATCATAGATTAATTTTATGAGGAAGATATGCAGCTTATGTGGGAACTAATGTAATTAGTATTGTAACTATTAACTACTGTTGCCAGAAAGTAATAAGTAAAGTAATAATATTACTTTTGAAAGGAGTAACAAGTAATATATTACATTTTTTGAGTAACGAGCCCAACACTGGTGGTTGTTCCATTAAACTGCGGTATTTGTGGTAAAACCTGGTAACTGTTGGTAAAATAATATCTCCTCAATACATCAGTGAAACTATGATTGATTTAAAACAAGCTTTAACACATTAAGAAATGATAAATATTGCTAAAAACTACTGCTAAAGATAGTTGACTTGATAAATGTATTACATTTCCTATAAGAGACTACTACAGTAAAACCATGGTAAACTATCACACAGACAACACGTGACAGTTCTTTGGAATTTTAATGGAGCATTAACCACATTAGAGACATGATGACACACAAAATAGCTTTCTATGAGACAGACATGCATGCACTTGAAAAAAAGAAAAAAATATATATATATGATATTCTAAATAAATATGAAAAGCCAAATTAAATCAAGATACATTTTCTTGAGATGCAAATGTTGAATGAAGTCTTGAAAAATGTAACAAAATGTAGTGAGTTTATGCTTAAATGCTTAAAAGGAGAATTAAAAATTAGTTTTACCTTTGAATTAAGATTTGTTTTAGCCTTTTGACAGATATTTGTTGTTGTTTTAATCATAAACTCACTTCATTTTGATACATTTCTCAGAAAACAAGACTTCTTATTTTAAGTCATTTTCCTTCTCCAGTAAATGTATCTTTATTTAAAAATCTTTAGTCATTTGCTGGGGAAAACAAGACAAAAATAAATAATATAATAAAAATCATGTAATAAAAATAAAAAATATATAGCAGCTGGGCACGTCTCCGCTGCACCTGTCGGCTCAGTTCGGTCATTACTCCACCACAGAGGTGCTTCTGCGCGCCGGCGTGAGTCGAGACGCTCGCACTAAAGTGGACCGGACGCCGCTGCACATGGCCGCATCCGAGGGTCACACACGCATCGTGGAGCTGCTGCTGAAGGTGAGCGACCAGGGCTGTGCTTCCCAAAAGTATCGTAAGCCTAAGTTGATCGTAGCTGGTTGGTTGGTTTCAATGGGTCTATGATGTACTTAACCCTTTTACGGTCCGCTGGCTCTTTAATGTTTGACTCGCGGTGCATTTGCGGTAATTTGCCTCTTTAAGTGTGGCCTTTCATCATCCAACAACGACTCCATTCATGTGTGTTTCTGCAGCACGGCGCCGACGTGAACGCCAAGGACATGCTGAAGATGAGCGCGCTGCACTGGGCCGTGGAGCACAGCCACAGAGACGTGCTGGAGCTGCTGCTGCGCTTCGGAGCCGACGTTCACGCGCAGAGCAAGTTCTGCAAAAACGCTCTGGACATCGCGCTGGACAACAGCAGCCACGAGCTGGCCGAGATCCTGCAGGTACACGCTTCATCACAGGCTCTGCGGCGTCTGTACGGTTCTCTGAGAGCTCTCTGTCCGTTTTTCAGCTCCGGCAGTGAAGCACTGCTTCGTGAAGGTTCAAAACGTTTGTGAATCATTTGTTTCGAAGCAGTGGTTTGGAGCGCATATCAATCTGCCAAAGTCACGTGATCTCCGTAAACGAGGCTTCTCATAACTGTTTCGAAACTTTTCAATGGTTTGCCATTGGGGGGCCATATCTGTAAACCCGTGAATTAGAGCTGCACTATTAATCGTTAAAAGATTGCAATCTCGATTCAAACACCCATGCAATCCCACTTTTAAATGACAACGATTAGCTGGTGCCTAATAAACCTTTGAAAAAATCATACCGAAACACGCTGCCGCTGACACAGAGAGAGCAGTTATCATGTTTAGGTAAAAAACAGCTTCACAAACAGTCTTTTCAACTACACAGTATTATGTCTGTTTTTACAGTCATTCATATCATCACAGAAATACTGGGATGAAAGTTTATAATTCAGATATAAACACTAACGTCTAAGGTAGGGCTCAAAATAGAACAAATCTCCTTCTGAAAGTAATTGGCGCTTCAAATAACGTTTGTGTCGATTGCATCGTTTCACCACTAGGTGCGAAAAGTGGCTTTTAAAAAATGTGTTTGTCATTGACTCATTCATTCAAGAGATTCGTTCAAAACCGCTGATTCATCCAGTAATGAAAAAAGTGAAGTATATATGAGTGAGTCATTGACTCATTCATTCAAGAGATTCGTTCAAAAACGCTGATTCATCCAGTAATGAAACAAGTGAAGTATATATGAGTGAGTCATTGAATCATTCAAGAGAGAGATTCGTTCAGAAACGCTGATTCATCCAGTAATGAAACAAGTGAAGTATATATGAGTGAGTCATTGAATCATTAATTCAAGAGATTTGTTCAGAAACGCTGATTCATCCAGTAATGAAACAAGTGAAGTATATATGAATGAGTCATTGAATCATTCATTCAAGAGATTTGTTCAAAAACGCTGATTCATCCAGTAATGAAACAAGTGAAGTATATATGAGTGAGTCATTGAATCATTCAAGAGATTCGTTCAAAAACACTGATTCATTCAGTAATGAAACAAATGAAGTATTTATGAGTTTGAGTCATTGAATCATTCATTCAAACCACTTTTTCAAATTTTTAATATTAAAAATTGGTGTATTAAATATATTGTATTTTAAATACATATATATTAAAATGTTGAATAATTCATTCAAATTAATTAAACACTTTTAAATAGACTGCAGCAAAAATCTTGTTTAGTTGGGAGAATCGTGATCTCTATTTGAGACAAAAAAATCATGATTCTCAGTTTATCCAGAATCATGCAGCTCTACCGTGAATCATACCGTGAGTTCATTGAGTTTGTCCCCCAGCGGCGAACCATTGAACCAGCGTCTATGGTTTTTACCTGATCTCGGATCTATTTTAAATACATATATATTAAAATGTTGAATAATTCATTCAAATTAATTAAACACTTTTAAATAGACTGCAGCAAAAATCTTGTTTAGTTGGGAGAATCGTGATCTCTATTTGAGACAAAAAAATCATGATTCTCAGTTTATCCAGAATCATACAGGTCTACCGTGAATCATACCGTGAGTTCATTGAGTTTGTCCCCCAGCGGTGAGCCATTGAACCAGCGTCTATGGTTTTTACCTGATCTCGGATCAGTTCCATCAATTTGTAGACATTTTTAACAAGACATTTGTGTAATTAAGTAGTTAATATTCTCATACTGGCCTCTATATAGAAGCTGTCCGTAAAACAAACAAAGCAAGCCCTGCAAATTAACATACATTTTTTTTTAACACCACATATTATACAGACACTTCATATTTCATGGTATTTTATTATTATTATTGCATTATACTATTATACAATATTAATGTATTGTATTATACTTTCAATAAAACATTTCCAATTGGTTTTTAAAAGCTGTTTTATGCATGTTTTAGCCTGAGTTTTTGTTGCATTTCGCACACTTTTGACCAGTAGGTGTCACTAGCGTGTGGCGTTTCGAGCGCTTCGTGAATCATTTTGCGAAGCAATTGGTTCAATTGATTCGAAGCTTTGAAAAGTGCAAAGCTCCAGTTCGTCAGACAATCTCGAGCAGTTTGCCTCTGAATGATTTCTGCTTGACTGTCTGGTTTGGTGACAGCGCCACCTGCTGATAAAAACAGAAATTATAAACATTTAAAGGGGACCTATTGTGCAAAAATCACTTTTATAAGGTGTTCGAACACAGTTGTGTGGCTGCAGTGTGTGAAAACAACCAGCATATAATGGAACAAATCAGCGGTCTGTCTCGTGCTTCCAGAATGATCGTAAATAGGAATGCGCTAGTTAATAATTGCATATGAAAGCAATGTGAAGTCGACCGTTTGAATTGGTTGAGCTCATAATCACAAGTGGCACTTATGGTGTGTTCACACCAGACACAAAGCGAATATTCGCTCTAGATTACTCGCGAGATGTTTTTCGTGTCACTCGCGCGAATAAAAACATAGCGCGATAAACCATGGTGGAGATAACTACAATCGCTGTTTTGTATCTGTTGTGAAAGTCCCAAATACAATGGAAAGCCAAACGCCGACGTGTCTGGGTTCACAGCACCATCATCCTGCATTAATGTGTGTGTTATTTTACTACTGTATATAAACTGATATTATTATTATTTTTTATTATTGATAGCAGCATCTCTGTAGCCATGCTAATAAGATACAACTACCACTACAACTGATTGTAATTGTTTTCTATGCTCCAGACGGCGACAATAATGCTCTCGTCCATTTTCTGATTCAACCGCACGTGTCAATAAGCTCTTTGAGTTATTTTTATTGCACCATGATCCTCGTCTGTGTAATTCATAAACGATCATTTATTTCGCACAGTACAATCAGATGACTGACTTTTAAACCGAGTACGTTTTCTGTAAAGATAACAGGCTTGTACTAATAGTGGAATGTTTGTTTGTATGCTCTTGAAGCTCCGCCCTATTCTGAAAAGTGGGCCGGAGCACCAGCTCATTTGCATTTAAAGGGACACGCACAAAAACGGCACATTTTGGCTGATACCCAGTGGCAATTTTAACAAGCTATAAAAAATTATCTGTTGGGTATTTTGAGCTAAAACTTCACATACACACATCTGGAGACATCAGAGACTTATTTTACATCTTGTAAAAAGGGGTATAATAGGTCACCTTTAAATAAAAAACAACCGTTCTATCTTTTGGATTCATACTGTGACCAGCATGTCTTTTCTTCACACCACATTCACTTTTTTCATACTCCTTCAACGAGGTGTGTTCAGTCTTATCCTGAATGAGCTCAGAAACGCACATTTATTGGCAAAAACACAAAACATAAAGTGAGGCTGCATCTCGGCATCACTTGTGTATTGATGCACAACTTTATCCATATTGTCGCCAGAGAGAATCTGTTGCTATAATAACTAAAACCATTACAAATGTATTTGTTACTTGAAATAAACGTTAGCTGAAATTTAAAAATATATATATAAACGCGAACTAATTTTGCTTCAGCTAGTTGCCAAGGCAGCATTTTTCATTTTCATTTAGTTTAACTTGAAATGAACAATTAAAGTATATATAGGCATATTAAAAAACGAAACAATAGCTAATAAAAATGACAAAAACACAAAAATTACTAAGACTTTAAAATTAAAATACAAAAATAAAAACGATTTCTAAATATATATATTTAAAAAATCTGTAGTACCTCAATGATACCAAAATAACACTGGTTATAACATTTTGATTAAAAAGTTAAATCAATTTTTGACTCAATAAAAAAACCGCTCCGCTTCTGCTCGAACCGTGACACTGATGGACTGTATTTGGCAGCTGTTCAGCGGATGGCTGGATTTCTTCATGGATAAGAAGAAGATGCAGTAATTGAATGTACATGAGCTAATGATATATAATAGAAAATTATGATGTTTGTTAATAATATTGATGAAGGTGGTTTCTGTATTTAACATAAACAGCTGTTGTTCCTGTGCAGTGTTGGGAAGGTTACTTTGGAAATGTAACAGATTACAAGTTACTCTATTTAAAATGTAACAGTAGTGTAACTATTTCAATTACTTTATTAAAGTAATGTAACTGATTACATTTGATTACCTTTCTAATTTTCCAGTGTTAGAAATTACCTTTCTAAATTTCTAATGTTTTTAACTGTTAATCATTTTTAAACATGTAAAGCAGGCAGGTTAATCTCACAGTAGAACTCAACACTGATTACTGTCAGAGAATCCTTCATCACTTGAATTAAGATTATAATAATTACATTTTAAAGCACAGTCACCGCAAAATCAGACTTTAACACCTTTTTTTACTTACACGTTTTTTCTTAGTAACTGTAACAGACATTTATTTTGTAATTAAATGACGTAATTTAGTTACATGTAACTAGTTCCTCCCAGCACTGTTCCTGTCCTAATGTGTTTATGAATATGATGATTGTGCATCAGGTGGCGATGCAGAACCAGATCAACACAAACCCAGAGAGTCCGGACACACTGACCATCCACACGGCCGCGCCGCGGTTCATCATCGGCCCGGGAGGAGTGGTGAACCTCGCCGGACTCGTGTCGCCCGCCAGCAGCAGCAAACCCACAGGTGACCCGTCCTCTCGACCCCCGCGTGCTTATGAATGACCTCCGTGAAAGAGGCCTTTGCGCAGATGCACACTGAAGAAAATGACCCTGCACTTCTCTGAACAAACAGCGTCTCAGAGCAGCATCAAAGCGCCGTGATTAGAGTGGAGATAAGCCTGATGTTGCTCTCTGCTGCTGTTGTTCAGAAGAAGAGCTCTCGGACTGCAGATGTTGATCTGATGATCAGATGTGGTCTGACTCTCGTCTCTGACGCAGTGGTGGCCGCAGAGGAGCTGATCACCGCAGACTCCGTCGACGGGGCCATACAGCAGGTCATGAGCTCTGGAGGTCAGCAGGTCATCACCATAGTAACAGACGGCATTCAGCTGGGCAACCTGCAGACGGGCGCAGGCATCAGCCAGCCCATAATAGTCACCATGCCTGACGGGCAGCAGGGTGAGAGAGAGAAGCAGCTCACATGAGCATCAATATCTGGAGAAATAAAGAGAAACGTGTGTGTGTGAGTGTGTGTGTGCGAGTGTGTGTGTGTGTGTTTGCTCAGCTCTCTCAGTGTGTGTGTGTGTATGATTTTTGGCATAAAAGAAAAATGTATAATTTTGACCCATACAATGTATTGTTGGCTATTGCTACAAATATACCCCAGCGACTTAACACTGCTTTTGTGCTGCAGGGTCACAGATGTGTACTTAATGCAATGCAAATCTCTAATGCATCAATGTAAAAGCACATTTTATCTAATTAATCAAAGCAGTAATGAGCATATAACACACGTGACACTGTGTGTGCAACAGGAGAAGGTGGCTCTTCTGAAGCAGCTGGAGGAGGCGAACCGCGAGGCGCAGAAATACAGACAGCAGTTCCTGAAGAAGGAGCAGGAGGCGGAGGCGTACAGACAGAAGCTGGAGGCCATCACACGGCAGAGCGTGAAGAAAGCAGCGTGAAAACACGCCGTCAGCTTCTGTGACTGAATCCTTATCATTCATTTCCTTCAGTTCTCCTCATAAAGCGCCTCAGCTGTGGTGCTCATGTGGCCGACACGGGTTCGATTCTGACCCACATCCCAGCACCCTTCACCAGCCTTTGAATAAAGAGACAAAAGCCCCTCAAAACCTGAACGAGGATGTTTAATTGCGCAGTAATGTCAGATTTCTTGATGCACAGTAAAAAATCAAAAGTTGAGGCAACCAGCTTCAGGAGAGTTTTGAGTTTTCTCAACGTTTGATTTTTTACAGTGTGTGTTTGATCTGCAGGCCATGTTTGATCGAATCCTTCATCATCAGACTCTGTAAGACTGGTTGTCCTCACTGATAATCAGCATGTTTATAGTTTCCTCCTGCTCGCTGTTTGTGATGCATTTTCCAGGATTTCTGTCATAAAGATTATTATTTTTAAAAGACAGCAGTGATTTGGTTTCTTTGAGGAGGATCTGAGCGTCTCTCCAGCACCGATCTGCTGATTCACATCTCAATTCAAGGTTATTTGTATAGCGCTTTTCATGATACAAATCATTGCAAAGCAGCTTTACAGGAAATTACAGTTTCTAGTAGTGGCTCATCAGGGGAGACTATCTCAAGTTGATGTTCATATGGAAGAAATGTACAGTGAAACTCAAGCAGTTAGTTAATGACATGTAATCAAACCCACGGTGAACACTATTAACTGCAATGATTATATGTTGCAATTACACTTCTAGTAAAATGTGGTTGTTTTGTATGTTGTTTGAGGGTTGGCATCATCTGAGGTGTCTTTGTATTGCATTGTATTACAGTATTGGAAATATTCTGAGCTCTTCAAACACACATATTTCAGATACGGATTGTTTTTGGATTCATGCTATATCAGTGCTGCTCTGAATCAAAGCGTGTCTTTGTGTAGTTGGTGTGTTGGCGTCGTTGTCTCCTTCAGCAGCAGCTATAAGAGCGGATGGAGATCTGAAGCGGCTCAAACGCGCTAATCTTCTCTTCCTCTGACAGACCTGATGCAGACACAGGAGTACCTGATGAGAGGTAACCATCTGGATGAGGCATGTCTACATGAATGAGTTTTTATTTAGTTTTACAGGACACAGCTGATCTTATACTGCCTAAGCGGTTTAGTTAAAAAGCTCTTGATTTGTACATAAATGACTGATGGTTTCTATCACTTTTACTTCCTGAATTTTAACCCTAAGGCTGCTGAAGTTCCACAGCGTGCCCAGTCTGTCGCAGGTGTGGGCGCAGTGCGGCATGCAGCAGCTCCACCAGCCCTTCAGACGAGGATGGGTCACCAGCAGAGCCAGCTGCTTCTACTGCTTCCCTCTGGAGACCAGCCCGCTGCCCACTAAATAACACACACTCACACACACACACACACACACACACTC